CCGTTTATAATATATATGCGTCCACCACCAACAACAGGACAAATTATTCGATTTCATATTCCTCACACGATTTATGAATATTTTATACGCTATTCTCATAACTGAAAAAAAAATCAAATTTACTTTTTGGTTATCAAAAGAATAAGATAGGATTTACATGTTTATCCAGGGGGCGAAGAAAGCCGATAATACCATTTATTCATATGGCGAACCACGGTATCTAGTCCGATTACCAGTCCATGCGGGATTGGGATGAGTTAGCCAATTATTTGTTTTCGGAAGCATGGACTCGATGGCGGAGGAAGCCATAACCGACCAGCGGTTAGGTGAATCACCTTATGGTGACGAGGAGTCCAGCAATCATGTCGCACATTTCACGTCGAATGGGGTTCGGACCTGCGAACCCACGTATAGTAATCAGAGGTACGCTTAGTTTCGTTGTTTCAGATATTCCGTTAGATCACTCGTTAGATAGAATTACATTACATTTGCAATATCCTGCTGGTAAATTCGCATCAAGAATGTCATTCCGTTGGCCGTGTAATTTAATTATTTCATTCTTCCGCATCTGAAGATGTTTTGTTAATACTAGCCAAAGTCTAAATTCTACATGTAGGTCTTGTAATACACTGTACCATCGCACGCTAATGGGAACTTACCAGCATTGCATAAATATTATCGCAGTAAAATATAAATATTAAAAAAATCGTAAAAACAAATAAACTAATTTTAATTTTGAATTAAAAACAAAACATCATCAGATTATTTCATATCATATGTATCATAGACATAACCTTGTTCATTTTACTGAAATTTCAATTTTGGTCACTTTATGGTATCAGCAACTTCCATACCGATTCGTCATTTAAATAATACCACAGGTTTGCTATGAGAATAAAAAACAGAATAAATATAAGAGTTGAAAACTGAATAGTGCCGAAGTGTCAAGCGTGAATTTTGTCTTCAAACATTGACTCTGCGATATTCTAAAACCTAAGCTTGTACCTACTTCACCTAGCACCATTTGTTTGAACCTGCTTCTCAATGGTCAATGGTCACCCTTGTAAACGTAAACGGTATGTTTTCTTTAACAGTCTGAGATAAGTTCTTTCAGAAAATTTTCCTTGGCTCCAAAATTCATGATTAAAAATAGACAAATGACAACTTGATAAATTTCTCGCATTCATTTGAACGATACATAACCAAATAGATTTACTCAGTCTTCATTTATATAAAAAAAAAACACTATGAGTCAGTGACCATCTGAAATTGAAAAGTTTTGACACAAATGTTATGTAATTGTCAGTGAAGCAAATATACTTGAGTAATGCTCAAATATTGGATCAATTTACGTTTATTATACAGAGCACAGGACTCCTGTCGCCTCCCAGGATGGCCAAAGTGATCCAAGTCCCTGATCAGCTTCGTTAGAATTTTTCCTGACAAGTAAATAAACGTGAGTTCGACTTGCTTCAGCAGTTGTCCATTGGTCGGAGGCTTCTCGAATTCTTTTATACCCAGATATTTGGCCGTTCGATAAAATTGCGTTTCCGTTCTGAAAAAATAAAAATAAATAAAAACGCGCTTAATGAAAAGTTGATATAAATAATATCTGTGAATAGAAAGTTAAAATTGGGAATAAAAATCATTTATACCTCAATTTACAATTTGCAAGATAAAACTTTTCTAACAATATGTGAATAATGCCAAAGGTATACGTTTGTGACAGCGAGTGATTTTTACATTTATATAAACTTCACGTACTTTATCTCGTTTCATTTTTGTCCAAACATGAGCATGCGATCTTCCAGCAGGAATTGTGTTTCTTACTAATTCCATGATCGCATTGTGTTCACGCTCGGTAGAAATATCAGCTAATCTTAACCCTTTGTTCCTGCAAATTTGCTCAGCTTCCGCCAAAGTGGTATCATACGTAGAATGAATTTCCGTTGTAAAACATTTCGAATCGACTCTCACTCCACCCCGTATGCTTTCACATTGTTATAGTTCTGAAAATAAGTAAGATGTACTTGTTGCGTTTGATAAAAAGAATTATCCAACTGCTTTCCCTTTAGAAATATGGACATTCAAGACTGTTCATTCCAATATTTAGGATTACAATAAGATATTTATTTAATTTAATTTAATTGATATGCACCTGAACACAAGATCTATAAAATATGTAATCAATTTTGTTAATGTAAAAGTATCTTCAAAATAAATAAAATTTAGGTAGAACAAGAAAACGATCTTACCTCTTGCAATTATCCCTTCGGTAATTTTAGAAACAGTCATTATTTTTTCATCCAAATCTTTCATCTTTGTTTCAATTCCTGATGTAATAAAATATGTGTTTGTTATTAGGCAATAATATAAGAAATATATTGATAAAAATAATATTATTGCAGCTCGTTTTATATTCGCGTTCTAATATCGGTTTCATGTACATGTGATGTTGTATTTACGAAAAAAAGCTTCCCTATATACAGAATGAGAAAATAAACTGATAAATCACTAGAAAATTATAGAACAGCTCAAATAATTTTTTTTTTTTAAAACCAGTAAAAATTAATCGTTGAAAATTATCAGACAATGAAATTATATAGTTTCACTGCTGCGAGAATCGAAGGTGGTTGTCGAGAAGAGACATCCAAGGTTTCAATATAGAATAGAAAGTTGAAAGATCTGTATTTTGGTTGTGTATTACTGTTATAATCATTGATTAAGATTTTGGCAAGTTTACTATCTAAATCACCCTCAAAGATTGAACGGAAGTACCTATAGCCAACAAATTGCCATTCCCTGAAGAATATAAAAGTATTTGAGTATATTGGTAATATACAACGCCATGATGATGTTTATTGTTACAATTATTTTAAATCTTTTTTATCCATATTGTTTGTTTAAATACTAGTTCGGATCACACATGAAATTTGATCAGATGTACACATGGGCTTAGTCCTTGCATATACAGTCAGTCGATATACAAAAATAATCGAGAAAATATGGGCATGCAATTCAACCAAGCTTTCATCAGAGCACTTAGGATGTAAATGTTGCAGTGATATATGGTGATGTAATCGCATCAACTTTGAACGTTTTGAAACGTAGGTCATACGAATCGAATCGTAGCTATTGGATATTTATATTGCACAATTATGTTGGTGAGTGTGCGAGTTTTCTTCAAACGAAACTTGAAGTAGTCTGTCTTATGCTCTGTGGTCGGCAACCACCGGGCCGCGGCCCATCGCTGGTCCGCGGAAAGATTACTGCCGGTCCGCAGAGAGGTGACACAAAAACGGACAAGGCCGTAAAAAACCTCTACAGTCTAACCACAAGACCTACGAATAAAAAACAGCACCCAACAGCAAACCAGACACACACAGCGCATTTGAGCAGCATGTCTGACTTCAGAGACAATTGCTATGTCAGTATGTCGCAATAATGCTGGGTCAATTGTCCCCACTACGCCCGTATAAGAAATTAAGAATGTCTCTCATCAGTCCGTATAAGATATCTCCAACAAAATGATTCTCGCTAAGAACATTACTACTCCACTACTGGCTCGTAGCTAACCGGTCATGCCTAGTCAGTGCTAATTCTATACTTCAGAATCCGTATAATCATAAAGTTAGCACATCGGGTAAAAAAAAAATAGTATTGGCAAAACAAACATCAGTCAATACCCAGACTAATGTCAGAAGGCTGACAGGCAGTGGTGGGTTAGCATTACTGGTTACTGTCAATGTTCTGTTTGTAACAGAACCGGCTGAAAGATATGACCTTTGTCTAGGAACCAACTGACTAAAAAATTGAATCCCACCACTGCTTACAGGCATTGTTACCTTTCCCGCAATCTTATTAATGTGAGGCCTGGTTTTCAATACCGATAACTACAAAAACTGAATATCAAAATAGTCCGGATGTAAGAAACACGTTACCTTTATTATGGGAACAGTTAATGGCCAGCAAACAAATACAGATATCGCACTAAATAGCATCACTTTTGTTTTGTAGTATATTGTCAACATAAATTACCTGATGCGTATAATTTATTGCATAGGCTTAGTCCGTTTGTGTAAAGGTGGTCCGCCAAAATTTTGGTCAGACCTTACCGGTCCGTCCCTTGGAAAAGGTTGCCGACCACTGCTCTATATCTGTGGTTCTCAACCCCTTTTATGGCTCGTGGCCCTCTTCCGGCGCCACTTCCAAACCTGGCTAATGTTGCTTCCCTGTCAATCTAATTCGCTTGGCAGCCAAGAAACGATGTCACGCCTCGATCTGATTGGAACTTGACTGCACGAGGCACGTATGGTTCATTCTAAAATTTTGTCCTAACAAGTCATCCATCTTTTACTTATAGTCGAACATTGCTCTCTTGTTCTATTTATGTTAGTTAGGTAACAAAAAACGATTTTAACCAGAATATTGAACAACTTATAAAAGCAAAAAATTGTAATTGTAACAATAATCTATCGCAACAAACGTGAGGTTTATCTTCGAACAATGACCCTGCGGCATTTTGACAATTTTCCCTAATAAATAATTTAACTAGCTCAGTTTGTTCGCAACCATCGATTCTATAGTCCAGGACTACTCAACCGGCGGACCGCTTTCCGAATCCGGACCTTTCGACCATTTAATTTGGACCGCATTTGCTTATTTATTTTGGCAGCATTAGCATGTTTTATAGTTTTAGATGATTTTGATACAATTTAAATATACAGCTATACAGTTTGTCGTACTGGTACCGATGTGCGACATTTGTGTCTTTATTTGCAAGCCATTCATTGCTCTTGTATTTAATTTATTATTGCATTTGAGATTTCGTTTAATTGATGAAATAAATTTTCTGAAATGTCCGGACCCCCAGTAACATTGAAGTTTTCCGAACGGACCTTTGGTGAAAATAGTTGAGTAGCTCTGCTATAGTCCACATTCCCATTACCATTAAAGATATGTTGCTTTTGAAGATATGGATTCGTTTATTTCAGAAAAAAAAACTTAATTCATGATTAAAAATGCAGAAAAACAAACCAATTTTTTGCATGCATTATTTCATTACATCGATGTAGCCTACACAATATATGTTTGTATCAAAGTCAAGTATGGGCCAATAACTGTTTTTAAATGAAAAAAAAAGAGTTAATACTAATGTCACGTAATCGTCCGTGAACTGTATATACTGGCGTAATGCTTGTACACTGGATTAATTCACGTTTCTTATACAGAACACACGACTCCTTCCAGGTCATAGGATGGCCAGATTGATCCAAGTCCCTGATCAGCGTTGTTGAGATCATTTCTGACGATTACATAAATGTGAGTTCGTCTTGCTTCAGCGGTTAAATATTCTCTTGAGTATTCTCGAATTCTTTTATACCCAGATATTTGGCCGTTCGATAAAATTGCGTTTCCGTTCTGAAAAAATGAAAACAAGTACAACGGCGCTTATTAAAAAGTTGATATAAATAATATCTGTGAATAGAAATATCAAAATTGGTAATAAAAATCATTTATACCTCAATTTACAATTTGCAAGATGGAACTTTTCTAACAATATGTGAATAATGCCAATGGTATATACGTGTGTGACAGCCAGTGAATTTTGCATTTATATAAACTCCACGTACTTTATCTCGTTGCATTCCTGTCCAAACATGAGTGTGCGATCTTCCAGCAGAAATTTTGTTTCTTACTAATTCCATGATCGCATTGTGTTCATGTTCGGTAGAAATATCAGCTAATCTTAACCCTTTGTTCCTACAAATTTGCTCAGCCTCGGCCAAAGTGGTATCTCGCGTAGAATGAAATTCCGTTACAAAACATTTCGAATCGACCATCACTCCACCCCGTAGGCTTTCACATTGTTCTAGTTCTGAAAATAAGTAAGATGTACTTGTTTCGTTTGATAAAAAAATTAAAACTGCTTTCCCTTAAGAAACATGGACATTCAAGACTGTTCATTCCAATATTTAGGATTACAATAAGATATTTAATTAATTTAATTTCATTGATATGCACCTGAACACAAGATCTATAAAATATGTAATCAATTTTGTTAATGTAAAAGTATCTTCAAAATAAATAAAATTTAGGTAGATCAAGAAAACGATCTTACCTCTTGCAATTATCCCTTCGGTAATTTTGGAAACAGTCATTATTTTTCCCTCCAAATCCTTCATCTTTGTTTCAATTCCTGATGTAATAAAATATGTGTTTGTTATTAGGCAATAAAATGAGAAATATATTGATAAAAATAATATTATTGCAGCTCGTTTTATATTCGCGTTCTAATATCGGTTTCATGTACATGTGATGTTGTATTTACGAAAAAAAAGCTTCCCTATATACAGAATGAGAAAATAAACTGATAAATCACTAGAAAATTATTGAACAGCTCAAATAATTTTTTTTTTAAAACCAGTAAATATTATTCGTTGAAAATTATCAGACAATGAAATTATATAGTTTCACTGCTGCGAGAATCGATGGTGGTTGTCGAGAAGAGACATCCAAGGTTTCAATATAGAATAGAAAGTTGAAAGATCTGTATTTTGGTTGTGTATTACTGTTATAATCATTGATTAAGATTTTGGCAAGTTTACTATCTAAATCACCCTCAAAGATTGAACGAAAGTACCTATAGCCAACAAATTGCCATTCCCTGACGAATATAAAAGTATTTGAGTATATCGGTAATATACAACGCCATGATGATGTTTATTGTTACAATTATTTTTAATCATACCTTTGGCAACTTCAATACGTACAAGCTCCGCCACTCTTACATAATCTACTGTTCCTGGCTGACCAGACGCACCCTGGAGTCCAGTTTCGCCCTTTAATCCAGGTTGACCTCTCTTTCCCATGGGGCCTTGAAGTCTCCTAGCTGATGGTTGAAAATTGCCGTTGTTGTTGTTAAATACATCGTTTACTTCTTTACATATCATATGCTTGTTTGTGGCTTGGCCAATGATAAAAAGGAGGGAAGCAAATAACAACAGAAAAGTAAACAAGAACATGCTGCAGTGAAATGTGTTTTAGGATCTAATTACTAATAGAAATAATAAGATATAAAAAGTGAGTGGTGATTTATTGCAATAATTTATTTCTCATGACATCATTATAAAAAAAAGGATTGTGACATTTTTATGGTTTTGTTCAATTATTATCGATACGGCATTTCGAATAAATCCAAAGACGTTAGGGTTCATAATCAGGGTTATTTTGAGAATATAGGGAGTTGTTAAATAAACCCTAAATAACTTTCAGTTCAAATCTAGCTTACGTTGTTCGTCAGCGAATGTGGGTAGTTCTGGCTAAACATAGATGTTCAAATTACTCGCGCTGCAATTTCACTAATATAATTCTGTTACGTAATATTGAAATGTTCATCAAATTCTGCTAAACCTTTCAACCTCTTTAAATATTAACCATTGATAAAATCCATGTGATGGATATATATTTGGATTTTTATTCTAGAAATACCATTTTCCCATCTTTCCAAAATACTTTAATTTGAATAATAATTCTTATTATAAATTAGAACAGCTGCATTCAATAATGACGTCATTCTTTCAGATATATTGATGCAGATCGAAAAGGCTTTTAAGTTAAGAAAGGAATTTACCTTATTATATGGAAGAGCTTGGATTGCCTTTGGGAATTACAAACATTATTATTTCATGACATTAACCTCTGTTAGTGGTAAATATTCGCACGCAGAAAAACAAGTTTTTGTATAAATATCACCTAAACCCCGAAAACGAGAGAAAGTAGTTTTCATCATCAATCACTAAAACCGCCCTGACATTGGTTGGAAAAACATTTTAATTTTAATTCGAGGAAGTTTGTGGAACATGTTTGCTATTCAAATTAATATCTTTATTTTTGTAAGGAAACAGTAAATACGATCCTTCTGCGAATAAATACTTTTTTCACTAATTATCTGTCTTCAGGTTTTAGAGTGAATAATAATGAAATTAATTATTTAATAATTTTATGAATAGCTATCATTGCTATATGAGCATTGTAGTCGAAACCATTTACTGGTGGAGTGGTGGTAAACAAACTACGGTCTTGGAATAATTAAAAACAGGCTTATCAAATTACATGCCCTTACATGGTCAAAAAATAACTATAAAGGGAATATACTTGTCATATCGGATTGTATGTCTGCTATACACGCTATAAATAATAACTCGGATCAAATTAGAAATATATCTTCGAATATTCAGACTTGTCTTTTTGAGTTACAGGAACAAGGATGCAAAATCACATTACTATGGGCTCCAGGACATGTTGGCATTCCGGGTAACGAAGTCGCCGACAAAATAGCAAAGGTATCAGCGGCGAAAGTCGATGTGGACAAAAGATTATCCCAATCACAAAACAAAGTCAAATCACAAATTCGACAATTCTGCGCTAATAAATGGGATCAACATTTTATACAAAGTGACCAAGCGTTTCATTACAAGACAATTTTCCCCTCAATTGAATACAGCATCAAGAGTTACACTTGGTCACCACGAATAATGGACAAAATTTTATTTCGACTTCAGACGGGAAATTGCCGTTTAAATGGACACCTCCATAAAATAGGATGCCATAATAATGGACTTTGCGATTTCTGTAATGATCCAGAGACAATAGAACATTTTCTAATGAACTGTCGTGCATATAGAAATGAAAGACGCATACTAAAGATAAAATGCCGCGATTATGGCATTGAATTTCAACTCGAAGCTATCTTACGCGACCCTAGCATTTTCCCTGCTCTTGTTGATTTTGTGAAATCTACCAAGAGAGTACTATAGGCATATACAAAATTTTGATTTAAATTGTCTGGCGCAAAAGACTCAAACTGTTTAAAGCGCCATATATTACCATACCACACACACACATCAAATTACTTGAAAGGCTCAATATCTCTGAATTTAATAACAATTTTACCCACAATAAAAACAATGCTCAAATATATGCCCACAAAGGTCAAATGTCAAAATATTTATCTAATCAACGGACAAACTCAGCGAATTAAAAAGTGAAATATATTCAATGCCACACCAATCATCTCAAAAAGGCGAACAACATCTCCAGCATCACAAAAACAACCATTTAGCATACGATCCATATGTATAGTTCGTTAAGGAGATGTTAGGGACAACATTACTCTAGCTTGATTCTAAACTTCAGCGAGTTCAGCATAACATGTACAACTACATACGTATATACCGCTGGTATGCATGCACATAAGGTCGACTAAATAGGTATTTACGGCCGAACAAATAGAAGAAATAGCCAATAGCCAATCGATTTTATACGATGTATTAGAATCATAACATATGCGACAGAATATTTCAAGTTGAGATAAAATTAAATTCGTATTTCACGCACTCCAGCAAAACTCTTTTCAAAGTTAACTTGTAAAGCGAGGAAAAACAAACACTAACACAAGGTTAGTTTTAATTTTCAAAGAGTAAATACCTATTATTATCAGTCACTAAAATCGCCATGGAATTGTTTGAAACAATCTTTCATCTTCATACAGAAATATGCAATAAACTCGGTTGAATCTACTAATAAAACCAACAAATATCAAAACTATCGTCGGCTGGTGTTAGCCCTAAACTGAGGTAAATAAATAATGAAATTCAACTAGGATCAATATTGCCCTTTATTAAAAATACTGTAACATTTTATTTTATTTCTATTCAATCTGTTTGAAATCTTTCTCGCATCCAACACTAAAATATAATTTGATTTATTCTGCAAAACATAGATTATGAAGTGGGGTCGCTTATGAACTACAAAAACACGCAGCGACATAACGTTTTACGAGAGCACAGTTTGCCCGCTGAAAACGAGAGTAAAGAACCATCATCAATCATTAAAATCTTTGTGGCGCTGGTTATCCTCGGAACCACAGGCATACCTTTTACCTTTACACATAGCAACTCGCCTACTTTGCAAAAATTATCTTTATGATAGAAAAAACTAAACAAAATATCCGTATGCGACTGATCGGCGACCTTTAGAATTGCGAAATGTTAACGGGAACTTTAAACGGCATAATATATTCGATATATTAAAGACTTCTCTCGATTCACACACGTAAAATATATTTTTGTCGGTTCAGTTAAGAGTGTAGATTAGGCAATGACAACGACAGAAAATAACTCTTGCCATCAATCACCATATCCTCCATGGCAGTGCTTATTCTGCCTGTACACAAAGGAACTCTGTGCAACATGCCTGCTATACAACAAATTGGATGATTTTTAACTTCGCAAAAACCAACAAACATTACTCTTTATTTGCTAATAAATCGTTTGTTTGCTATTTAACTCTCATCAGCGACCCTTTTTAGATTTTTGCGTAAAAATTGAAATTAATTGGATCATGTTATAGTTTTACAAATAGCTTTCTTGGATACACGAGAATTGTAGTTGAGCTCATTACTGATTACACATGGTAATACCGTCTGAAAATGTTCAAAAAACGCTTATTGAAATATGCTCAATATCTATAGTGGTAATAAAAATCCTGATTACATCACATTAAGAAATAAACACAAATAAAAATCATAGTTTATGAGAGACATTTTGTAGAAAATAGTAGAAAGATATTGATTTACAACGATAACGCTCAGTCGAGTGGGTTTTTCAATGTACGTAACCGCCGAATATAATCCAACTCATACGCTAATACAGCCATTTCAATATACATGAACAGACGATCAGTAATCAAAACATGTTACACAGTTATTCGATTTCGTATGCATGTAAGGATGCGAAATTCGTATTCGTTGGATTTACAACACACGAGATAGAATTGCATTCTTGAAACTTTGAAGCTAAAGTTTATTAGTTTTTCAGATATCATAGCACCATTGACGCACGAAAATAATAGTTCACAATATCCTCAATCCTAATTAAAATTGTTGTCCTTTATCGTTAGCTTCAAATATTCCATCGTTCCGTCTATACCAGTTTTCACTAAAAATTTTAAAATTATTATTCATATCTGTTCAAAATCTTCCCCGATCCCTACGATGTAAGTTTCTTCTGTTTTAGTAAACATGGGGTTATTGAGCAGGGTCGCATTTGAAGTGGAAAACAAGTTTTTATATAAACATCACATAAGGCTTCAAAAGGAGAAAAAGTATCTTTTATCATTTATCATCACTAAAACTCCCATCGCTGTGGTTGGAAGAATATTTTATCTTTAAGCAGAGGAATTATGTGTATGTAGTGTGTCTGCAACATGTTATCAATCACTAAACCTCCACGACATTGAATAGAGCAATATTTATATTTACGCAAAGCTGTACAACAAATTGGCTTGAATCTATATAATAAAAACCAACAAATATTAAAAATATTGTCGGTCGGCGTTGGCCGTGAATGAAGATAACTGAATATTAAAAATCAATAAAAACTTATGGTCTTCACTAAACATAATGTACTATATATTGTATATGTTTAATCTCATTGAAATCTTTTTCACATTCTGTCTAATCTTTCTTCAACCCTGAAAATTTCTTTTCTATTAGTATTATGAAGCGAGGTCTCTCTGAAAAACAAAAACGCCCACGGAGTTAGGTGGGCGCATGTGGTCGAGGGCTTAAAATGAGAGTGAATGATGATCATCAATCACTACATTCTTTACGGCAGTGATTAGAAATATCTTTTATCCATGAACAGAAGAGCTTGGCTGCTATACAATAAATTGGATTATCTTTATCTACAAATTACATGTGTGATCTTTCTGGGAAAAAGTCGTTTTTCACTAATTATCCGTCATCAGCGAATTTTAGAATTGCGAGATGAATTTGAAATATGGAATTGTATGTTAATTTGGATAACAGAATAACAATTTTATATCAACTACATAAGTTCAATTGCTCACTGTTGCACATTAGCCAGCAACATTTTACTACTAAAATTAATCAATTTTTCAGATATTTTAGACCCATGGCGTGTAAAATATTAGTTCACAACTTTTTTCAATATCAAGGACAAATATTGCCCGAATTATTGGCGTTAGTCTTAAACATTTGAGTATATCCTAAAAAAGTTCTCACTGAAAATGATGAAATATTATAAAGCATATCTATTCAAGATCTTCTTGCATTGAAATAATATAGTTTCTTCCGTTTTGCCAAACAAAAGATAAGAACAGTAGCAAAAGACAGTAAGTCAACCCGTCAGCGACATTTTGAGGATCAATTTATATTATCTGCAAATATACCCAGACAAGAACTTATTATTATTAAATATTGAAAGTTAGTCATAACCGGAACAACAACAAATTCAAAACAAGTTGCAGGAATGGGGGAGCTAAAATAATGTATGGAACGCGAGACCCATTAGCGATACCTAGTGGCGAGGAAGCGGGCAATATAAAGAGACATAACAAAACCATACTTTCTGACATGGCCAAGCTAAATGCAAGCACCACTGCAAGCCGAAACCGAAATGCAAGCCATTGATTACAAAATTTTGTTTGGTATTATTAGTTTCTGTTGAAGACGGTTGATAAATAAATATTTGAAGTGCTTACTCAAACCCAGTAAAATTTGTTATTTTATTGTCTGGAAATTTTCAGAGATCGATTCTTACCGTTGCAAAAAATAAATTTTAATTGCGCTGTTCTTTAATTTTTTTGTGATTTTCCCGATTTTTTTTCGCATTCTGTGTATAAGGAG